CATGCAAGGTTTCCACAAACAGGTCCCCAAGCAAGGTTCCCGAGGACAGGTTTGCAAGCAAGCTTCGCAAGAACAGGTTCCCAAGCAAGGGTTCGAAGAACAGGTTCCCAAGAACAGGTTCGGGTTTCAAGAACAAATTCTCTAGGAAGGTTCCGAGCAATAGGTTGCCAGCACGGTTCCCACGAACACGTTCCCAAGCATGGTTTCAGGTTGCTCATGTTCCCAGGAACAGCTTTCCAAGAACAACTTGCAAAGCGAAATTTCGAAGAACATCTGAACATCTGCAAGCAAGGTTGGAAGCAAGAACAGAATCCCAAGCAAGGTTCCGAAGGACAGGTTCCTAAACAAGGCTCCCAAGCAAAGTTGCGAAGAACAGGTTCCCGATCAATTTCCAATGAACAGGTTTGAAGCAAGCAGGCAAAGTTTCCAAGAACAGGTTCCCAAGAGAGAGTTCCCAGAACAGGTTACCAGGCAATGCTCCCAAGAGCAGGTTCACAAGTAAGGTTCCCAAGAACAGGTTCCCAAACAAGGCTCCCAAGAACAGGTTCCCAAGCAAGGCTTCGATAAACAAGTGTCAAGCAACGTGTCCAAGAACAGTTGCCCAGGCAATTTTCCAAGAACATTGAACAACAGCATACTGCAAAGTTTGGAGAATTGTTCTGATAACGGAACGGAGAGATTGAAGAACTAGTTTTGCTTCAAAAAATGATACGGCACTCGCACATGGATAAAAACACTAGACGACAGCGTGGCATGAAAGAAAGCAGGAGGGAGGAGACGAGAAGATAATACACAAGAAAACGATGATGGTGATAATGATGACGACAATGATGATGGCGATGACGATAACGAGGTTGAATGGCGATGGAGATGATGATGAATGATAGCTGACGCGAGTCAAATGTCAGCTATCCACGATTTCATGCCTCTTTTGTCCCCGCAGAGGGTTTGCTCCAGGGCTGGCACCTGAGCGACAGTCAGAATCAAAAGACATGTTGCTTTTACACAGCGGGAAAATTACACAGAGAAGATTTTACACACAGAAGCCTTTACACAGAGAGGGATTTACACAGAGCAGCTTTTACACAGACGCTTTTGCACACAGACGCTTTTACATACGGAAACTTTTACACAGAAAAGCCTTTTCTAAAGAAGCCTTACCACATGAAGCCTTTACACAGAGCTTTTACACACAGACGCTTTTTCACAAAGAAGTTTTCACACACAGGAACTTTTACGCGGAGATGCCCAAGCTTTTACACACATACACACACACACACGCGCCTTACAAAAAGAAGCTTTTTGACACAGAAACTTTTACAGCCTTTTCACAAGAAAGCTTTTACACAGAAGCTTTTGCACAGAGATGCCTTTACAAACAGAAGCTTTTACACACAGAAGCTTTTACTCAGAGAAGCCTTTAAAAAGAGCAGCTTTTACACACAGAGAAGCTTTTACACAGAGAAGATTTTGCACAGAGAAGCTTTTTCACAGACAAGCGTTTGCGGGAACTTTGAGCACAAACGGTTTTTACATACAGCAGCTTTCACACAGAGAAGCCTTTGCGCGGGCCAGCTTTTACTCCGCGGAGCAGTTTTTACACACCGAAGCTTTGACGCAGAGAGGCCTTTACACAGAGAAGCTTTTACGCACAGAGGTTTTCACACGGAAGCTTTGCACAAAGAAGCTTTTACACAGAGAAGTGTCTAAACAGAGCATCTTTTTTACACAGAAGCATTTACACGCACAAAAGCTTCACATACACACAGAGCTTGTACACACAGACGCTTTCACGCATAGAAGCTTGTTCACAGAGCTTACAGACCGAAGGTTTGACGCAGAGAGGCCTTTACACAGGGCAGGTTTTACACACAGACGCTTTTACACAGAGATGCACAGAGCAGCTTTTGCACGCAGACACCCCCAGGCTTTTGCGCACAGAAGTTTTTATACATAAGCTTTACACAGACAAGCTTTTACACAGAGAAGCCTCTACACAGCATCTTTTATACACAGAAGCATTTACACACACACAAAAGCTTTACACACAGACGCTTTTACGCATAGAAGCTTGTTCACAGAGCAGGCTTTACACAGAGCAGCTTTTACACACCGAAGCTTTTACACAGAGAGAGGCTTTTGCACAGAGCAGCTTATGCAATCTTATACGCACAGAAACTTTAAACACGCAAATGCCCAAGCTTTTACACAGACAGGTCTTTACACATAGAGGCATTTACACAAAAGTTCTTCACACAGATGCGGCAGATGCTTCTACACTGAAGCTTTTGAACACAGATGCATTTCCACACAGAAGCATTTACCCAAATACGCTTTGACATATACGCGCCTATACACACAGAAGCTTTTAGACACGGATTGTTTTTCAGAGAATCACAGAAGCTTTGACACAGAGGAGCCTTTACACAGAGAATCTTTTACACACTGACTTTTACACACACGAGCTTTTCCACAGAAGCTTTTGCACACACGAGCTTTTCCACAGAAGTTTTTACACAGAGAAGCTTTTGAGCACAGGAGCTTTTACACACAGACGCCTTTACACACAGAAGCCTGTACACACGGAGGCTTAGAAGCTTTTACACAGAGAAGCCTTTACACACAGACGCTTTCACACAGAAAAAACGATTCCACAGAGCAGCTTTTACACACTTCAAAAAATCGCAGTTTTACGTAAGTTTTGACGTTCGGCCATCATATCGTGCGAAAGGAATGCATCCGGCGTTGGAAAATCGCAATTTTTGACGTTGGGCAACCATTTTGCGTGAAAGGGTTGCGCCTGACCTTGTAAAATCGCAATTTTACACAAGTTTTATTTCCCGCGAAACGGTTGTGCCTGACGTTTCAAAATGGATAAAGTCGAAATTTTACACCAATTCTTGAACGTTTGCATCCGACGTTAAAAAATCTCAGTTATTGCCGTTTGACTTTCATGCCACGCTTGCATGTGAACTTTCAAAATCACAATTTTACACCAGTTTTTGACGGTTGACCCTCATTTCGTGCAAAGGGGCTGCGCCGGGTCCCACCAAATTTGCATTTTGCCACATGTTTGGATGTCCGACCTGCGCGATCTCTGCAGAGGGTTGCCCGTGCCCAAAAGAAATTCACATTCCACCACATGCTTGGGCGTTCGAAACGCACGATCTCCGCAGACGGTTGCTGCAGGCAAAGAAGTTTCGCATTTCACCACACCACATGTTTGCCCATCCGACACGCACGATCTCCGCAGAGGGTTGCCCAAGGACAAACAATACCCGCATTTCGCCACGCGTTTGGGTGTCCGACATGCCGCAAAGGGTAACGTTTCGTAAGCCACCGCCTGCCAGAGAGAAGTAGAAGAATTGGAGAAGTCTGATTTTGCAGGAGTTCAGATACAATTTGATCACCTGGAAGTTAGCTGAACTCCTGTGTAGCCACTCCTGTGTAACAATTTCTGTGCAAATGACCGTGCAGGCAGGAGTCTTGTAGGAGTTCAAGTAGAAGTGGATCACCTGCAAGTCACCTCCTGTGTAAATGACATTTTTAGTTGATCACCTATAGCTGATGTAGGTGATGTTGTCTATGTTGTAGATGATGAGGATGATGTTGTAAGTGATGTAAAGTTAGATAGGTTTGAAGATGTAGGTGATGTAGAGGATGCAGTGATATAGATGATGATGTAGGTCATGTATGCGTTGTGGATGATGTATGTCATGTAGATGAGGTTGATGGAAAAAGATTGTGTAGGTGATGCAGATGGTGTAGGTGAGATAGGTGATGATGATGATGATGATGGTGATGATGATGATGGTGATGGTGATGGTGGTGGTGGTGGTGATGATGATGATAATGTTGATGATGTAGGGAAGATGTTGCAGAAGATGTGGGTGATGTAGAGGATGTAGATGATGATGATGATGGTGATGATGATGATGGTGATGATGATGATGATGGTGATGATGATGATGATGATGATGTAGGTAATGTATGTGTTGTAGATAAAGCACGTCATATAGATGAGGTTGATGGAAAAATGTGTAGGTGGTGTAGATAATGTAGGTGATGATGATGATGATGATGATGGTGTAAATGTAGATGTAGATCTAGAGAAGATGGTGTAGAAAGTTGTATAGAAGATGTAGGTGATGTATATAAATAAATGAAGGATATAAGAGATGTGGATGATGTATGTTGGGTATATGAAGTGAAGAGTGAGGGGACAGCAGTTCCTTGTCAAAAAAACCCTTGGCACGAGCTTCGGGAATATTGGCCACAGTATTGCAAACGCTTTTGGAAAAGAGTTTTTTCATAAAGTGTTTGTGCTGTGATTGCACCTTGCACGCCCGACCTCTAGAGTAAGAAGGGCGGGACAATAAACATACTTCACTCGTTGCGTGTTTGGCAGCTGTCTTTGGGCTTATGAGTCAACCAGAAAAATCCTTTCCAGACTCCGAATCAGAACTGGGCCACAGAAATTCAAAACATGGTACTGCGATTCAGCGGACAGCAAGAAGGCATCTCAGACTTGACTTCTTGCCACGCGCGTTCTTCACTTAATTCTTGCAAGAGATCTACCAGCAGGATTGGAGATTCTATTGCCATTGCTGCAGACACAATTCAAGTTGTCATCTTTGAACTTCAGGTATTTTGTCTTCGGCAGTTCAGCATGATATTTCGAATCATCAGTAGACGCAGAATATGTATCCACTGGAAAAAAAAAGAAACGCGCTTCCCACAATTGGATAATTGGAAAAAATTGGATACAATTGGATACCATTGGACAGAATTGGATACAATTGGATGGAATTGTATTGTTTCCTAAAGGTTCAAGCTTCCTACATCAGCGAAAAGGTGAACGCAAGGAACATCACATCCCTCGGAGTCAGAAAGTGACCAGGAGTCTGTAAAAACATGTGCAGAGGATCCTTGATTTTGTCATATTTTGTCCCTGTCTTGGGCAGCTTCTAAAAAAACCTGGATGGTCAAAGCTGAGAAGCTGATGCAGCAAACTTCTGCATTTCTCCAGAAATAGAGCCCGTTTAGGCGGAGCAGATGCTCGTGGAAGAACTTCGTAGGTACCCATCAAGAGCTTGGCTTTTTCTGCAACGCGCTCTTGCAGGTGTGGAAGGAGATGTTCACTATCCTCGAGCCAATGTTACTTGCCAGTCCTACTTCTGCATGCAGCTGCATCGCTAACGTAGCCAGCTTTTTACTAATGCTGATCACTACCCTTCACTTTATCAGTTTAAGATTTACAAGATGTTTGAATTTGTTTCAAACAATCCCTCCCCATCTCACCCAGCACGTGAACACTTCAAACCAAAAAAATGCGCGGGCTCTGCACCAAAAATGAATCTCCCCCTATAAACTCTGTCCAGCTTTGTTTAGTTTGGTACGCTGGCGTAACTTCTGTTTGGTAATGCCCAAATAGACATTAAACTCAGCCTTCTCGTACAGCACAAGGTTCCAACAGTGCTGCTTGATGGACCGGAAGAAAGCAAATGAAACTGGCATAATCTTGTACAGCTGCAAAGCAAATCTCCAAGCGCTTCAGAAGTGCCGACAACAAGCAGTAGAGCCCATGCAATTCCCAGAACGCTGTCCAAGCCTGAATCCCCAGTACTTGGACACAGCCATCCAAGATACCGGTCGTAGAACCTCCGCTTCGATCACGAACTGGATCCTGGGCTCAAGTGCAGAGCCATCAAGTTAGGCTAAATCGCATCAAGATGGTTCAATGACTACTATACCATGTTAGAACCAATGCCAATCCTCCAAGGTATAGCAGTATAGCACTGCACCTAGTGATCCTGTCACCCTAAACCAAACCCACATGTCAGTGCAATTCGACAATCGCTACCAAATGCCGCAATGGCCCCGTGTTATTTGTGGCAAGTTAACATAAGCCCTCGCCCCACACTTAATTTATATAATCATATATATATACTATATATATAAATAGACTCATTTGACTTCACCCTTTTACACTGGATGTTGGTTTGAAGACAATACTTCATGGCCGCTGCAATGGATAATGAATGTGCTTTGTCCTTTCTTGACATGGCAACACGAGAGTACACATGTCACACCTGGCATGCTCTGCAAACACGCAGTGTCTGCAGTGTGCGCAGTGTCCTGCAGTTCCTGCAGGAGCTCTTGAACATGTCGCCTGGCCGCAACTCCGGCCGCACTGCGAGCACCATCTTCCGGGAATTCCGGGAATTCCTGCGCAACGCATTTCACAAGGACGGGCAGCTGACCGTCGCAAACTGTGTCTGTGCGCGTGCGGGATCATTATATAATGAATTGGGCTAATGAATGTGGTGTCAGCTTGATCCCTGCCGTCCATGAATGGAAAAAAACAGGTTGGTCATGTTGGTCAGGAGACGCGAATCATGTCCCAAAGTCAGACTTCAAGTGTCTTTACAACTAAACCCCCCACAAGCGGGCGGCGGAGGTCTCCAGCAGGAAGCTATGTTGCTATACGAATGTCAAAACAGATGCCTCTAGGAGTTGCTGTGGTGCTCCAATTTTTTTCAATTCTTTTCTCGCTTCATCCTCACTCTTTCTCACCTCTTCTCGCCTCTTCTCACCTCTTCTCACCTCTTCTCATCTCTTTTCACCTCTTCTCAACTCTTCTTGCCCCTTCTCAGCTCACCCCAACCCCCCTCACCTCTTCTCAACTCTTTTCAGCTCTACTCAACTTTTCTCGCCCCTTCTCTGCT